TTGCGGGGGTCTTCAGAAAGGCTAAGCAACAAGTAGAGAACCGACCAGCGATGCTTTAGAACACCCTGCAAACAGGAAAACAACATTAAAAAAAATACCACCTTCAAATCAGTTCAATTTGATTTCATTTACATAGCGCCCAATCACAACAACTGTCACCTCGAAGCGTTTTAAGGTAAAGACCCAAAATCAATACAGAGAAAACCCCAACAATCAGACAACCCCTTATGGCCAAGCACTAGGTGAAAGTGGGAAGGAAAAACTCCCTTCTAACAGGAAGAAACCTCCAGCAGAACCAACCTCAGGGAGGGGCGACCATCTGCCATGATTGAGTAGGGGTAAGGGGAGTGAGACAGGACAAAAAGCACCCTTTGGAAGACTCTTTCATTTAATAAACAAAACAGTATTGTTATCTGGAGGGGTGACTGTGGCGACTAGTGAGACTTATTAATAAATAAATAAATTAATATACAATTAATGACCAGTACTGTGTTACCAGCCCTTCAGAGGTTTACTCTGAACCAAATTAAACAGGTCTCTGTTTTATGCAAGCAGGCTGTATCATGAGTCAAGTGGGAAATTGTTCCATTAAAGCTTTAATACCTCTGTGGGTAATAATACCTTTCAGAGAGAAATCCAAATACCAACCTGTGTCTGAAGTTTCCTGTGCAGCTCCGAGAACAGAGCTGCGTCTGCTTCTCTCCGCTGCTTCAGCACTGCAAGAGCATTAAGACCGACTGTGTTAGGTGGCGTTTCTCCTCCATGAATGGCTCATTTAACAGATGAACAAAGCTGGAAATGGTTCTGTGCCAAACAGGTTTTTAAATAACAAAAAGAAACTTTCCACAAATGGGATATTGTTAAAACTGCAGACCGAGACAAAGAAAAGTAGGAAATGCATTGTGGAGGTTCAAAAAGAAAGCCAGCAGACTGCAGCGCCCTTCTGAAAGCCCAAAGTTGCTCATCAAGATAAAGCATGCTGTGTTTGTATTTATAACTGCCCTCATATTGACAACCAACCCTCCAGCTCTGGTACACCCTGTCACTGCTGGCATTTAGAGCTGCAAGACAAATGCTATTTCTTTAGCAGTCACTGGAATACATTATTTCATATGCTCAAACTCACTCAAAATTAATTTCATTTAAATGTCTGACTGTTTCACATCATTAACCAATATAAAATATCCAGTTATCACTTTTGTGGCAATGTTGCAATAAAAAACACAAAGACTAAGCAAAAACGTCTCATAAGTCCACCTGGGATAAATAAATGCTGTACAGTAAGTGCTGTGCTATTTTGGTTTTACAGTCTGCAGCAGAGCTTGGATCAATGTTTTCCCACTAATGGTGTGACCTTGCTCCCATTTAAGTCAAATAGGATTCTGTAGTATGGTGGAATAAAGATTTTCCAGCACATGTATTAAAGCTGGCATTCTGACATATGGGGATCAGGTGTCACAATGACTAAATGAAGTAATATACAGTGGATTATAATGGATTTGCTTTCACAGAGGGAGGGAGGAAAGCATCAATCCAAATGCCACTCACGCTCTTTCTTTATCTTCTCTGACACCAGGAACTCGTCTCGTTCAATAGTAGGGGCATAGTTACTGCCAATGACTCGAACTGCGTACTGGAACTGGTGGGCAACTTCAGCTGAAAAAACAAAACAAAACAAAAAACAAATATCAAGTCATGACTAACAGCTTAAAGGAATGTACAAATGACAGTGTGTTGACTGGGGTTTCCCCCCCCCTGTTACATCATTACTTTACTTATAATGTTTTACTTCTTTTCCAAAAGCACAAACAGGATATAACAAAATGAACTTACAGACCAGGAGAGTGCAGATTTGCCATTACTTTAATAAGGATAATGTATGATGGGACAGTGTTGCTAACACTTTAGATACAGATTTTAAAAGCTAATTTTCATTGCAGTTGCCAACTGCAAAGGTTTTGGGCCTTTGATCAAAAGTGACTTAAAAAAACAAAAACAAAAAAAACACTGCTTCTGCTTCTATCTACAACAGGGGCCTGCAGCTAGCCAGGCAACTGCATCCAATTTACCACACAGATTAGAAACAGAGCTAAGTGGCTAGCAATCTAAAAGATAACCGAGAAAGGCGAAGCACTTTATTTGAGCAAAAGTAACGGTGTAAGACAGCGACTCGTGGAAGCACCGTGAAGCTGTTCAGCTGGATGTGCAGCATCTGGCCAAGCCAATTGGCTGACAGATACGCGAACCGAGCCCCCGCTACGTCCCGTTTTCCCTCACAGCTAAAGCGATAGCCACATAAAAAGAAATCAATATATTTTCTTAATCATTTAAATGTGACATTGTAGTGACATGTTTACTCCTGAAGGCCTTAAGAAATTAATAAAATCCTATCTTCAATTCGGCAATTGTCCGAAAGACTGAGCAGCAGTTATTTAAGTAAAACTTCAACCGTTTTCTACAATATTCAGTCTGCAAAACAAACCGGGTGAGTCGGCGCCAGCTGCTTAAAACGTTTAATAAACAGAAAATTCAGAGCGGTCTAATGTGAAATATTAATGCCGAATTTGCCACTAGAAGTTAATCACTCACATACTGCTTCGTGTGAAGCATGTATGATTAATAACAGGACGCGAAACAAAAAAAAAATGATTTTTTGAATGAGGTTAGGTTTGGCAGTTCCTGACTACTACAGTAGTGCAGTAGCGCGAAGCTTGCTAGCAGTAACGGATGTACCTTCGCTTTTCCCCGTGATTCTGCAGCAGAGGCTTTGGAGAAGGACGTTTGGCGATTTCTGATCCAGGGTTGCCATGCTCTCCGTGGCAAATGGGCAGTGTGTTCCCCAATAAATGAATAAATGTGAATGAATAATATGAACTAACTCAAATCCCCCACTACGAGCAACGCCATTTTGACAACTTCAGGCAAGCTAGGAAGAATTTGACAACGACCAGCGCCACTTGCCTTCAAAATAAAAGCATACATTTTCTTACCTATTTCTTTTAAAAACTTGCACGACACTAACGAAGGCTCAATAAATAATGTACACATCAAAACTAGAAGCACCGTTCCGCAAAAAAATAACAAGACAATAATACATACGACATCAAGAAAGACGAGGAAGACAAGATAACCAGATAAATGAATATGTAAGGGGAACTTGTAATGTAAAAAAAGAACCTTTTGACTGGTAAGTAAGACCAAAGGTGCAACATGTATGCCGGATGTTTCATTATCTACCAGTCCCATTAATAAATAAATAATGAACGGCAAAAATACCAAAATAACTAAAAGCCTATTTATGACATATCATTATTAAAGTTGTTATAGTTTAAACCAAAATCCATCACGTACGTTTTATTTTGAAGGCTCAAACAAGAAACCGTGGTTATTATTTCTATTTTTACGGCGGACTTTCAACAGAACCCGCCGAAAAGCGTCTCCAGGAAACAGGGCGCGGACAAGTGGATGAAAATATTTCCCTCCAGAAACGTGGTGCCATGAATTATTTTGTTCTGACCCCGCTGACCTACCTGTTACAAACCGATGCGTCACGACAGCAGTAAGAACGTGTAATAATGAGTCTAAAATATTATGAAAATCTCTTCTCATTTTAAACCGAGCTTGAAAAAGTGGATGAGATTTGAGATGCAAAAGGAATAGAAATTTTACCTTTCAAATTCCTTATTTGTTGTATCACAAAACTTTAGTTAACCTAAGTAATAAACAAACAAACAAATAAATAAATGAGATGAGTCTTATGCTGAAAGTTATGTGTATTTCTGACATTTTATGTAATGATTTCAGCACCATATCTATGGATAGCACCAGTCTATTTTATTTTATTTTATTTTATTTTATTTTATTTTATTTTATTTTATTAAGTTAAAAAAAATCTAAATATCCCACAGTTAACTGAGACACCCAATCAATAATTACTCTTCACAAACACTAGAGCGCGCATGCGTTCACCCCCGGTGCCAGAGCCACCACCTGGCTCCGCGTGACGTAGATGAAAGAAAATCTCCTTTGGCCGCGGCGCGAGACAAGAAGATTATTAGTACACGCGCGGAGGGGGGAGAGAGAGAGAGAGGGAGCGCTGGAGAGCTGGATATTAGTTTGGCTTCTAGTCTTTTAGGAGGAGCAGCTCGCTGCCCATGTGAACTGTCTTCAAACTGTAGGAGAAGACGCACAGACAGACACTCCCCCCGTTTAAAGCCCGTTGCGGGGTCCGTAGGTGAGTTTGGAAGCGAGTCCTTTTTTTCCAATTCAGGAAGAAGAAGACGGGGGAGAAGAGAAAGTCATGGGCAGAGGAGTAGAATTAAAAAGAAGCTAGCGCCCGCAGTAAAAATAACCTTTGGAGGAGAAAAAGACAGAGAGCAGAAGAAGTGTCCGGAGAGGGAAGAGGAACAGGATGGGGATGGATTTCAGCACTCTGCGTACTCTTATCAGCCGATATGTAAGTTTGTTTTTCCTTTTTTCTTTTTCTTTTTTTAAATTAAATACCCTTATGTTAACATTAACATATGCGACTAGTTGCCTACAAACCAAAGCTATTTCCATTTTAAATCAAACCTGTGAACTTTTTTGTTATTACCGTTGGTTTAAAATTCCGAC